TAAAATCTTTTTAAATTTTTTATTAATAATTATAATTAAAATATATTATATATTTAAATTATATTTTCAATTTTATTAACTTTTCAAATTATTATATATTTAAATCATTTTTCAACCACAACCGCCATTTCAAAGCTTTTTTACTTTTTTCCTTTAATGTAATTTAAAGATCTAAAATTACTTCAATGACCCTCGAAAGTCTCAAACATATCACATGTCTCGAAAGATTTAAACAGGTATTCTCTTTAACTAAAACCTCATTTTGTTTTGAGAGAGATTCAATCTTATTCCTAAGCAATGAAATGGTTTTAGTAAGAGCAATATTCTCATTTCCTAGTTTCTTAATGTCATTCATAGAGCAATCAAGAACTTTGCATAAATCATCATAAGAATACTTAAATGAACTTTCATTAATTGAACTAGAGAAGTTAGAGTTTACCTCCTCATCATTGTTGCTATTCTCTTGAGCCATGAAACAAAGATTTACAACACCATTCTCCCAGGAGCTTTCACTTTCCGTTGAGATAGTCTCATCATCACTCCAAATGGCGGCAAAAGCTTTCTTCTTCATGCTCTTCTTGTCTTTTTTCTCACCCTTCTTCAATTTGAGACATTCATTTCTATAGTGCCCCATCTTGTTGCACTCATAGCATTTCACACTCTTTTTGGTAGGCTCTCCTTCATCCCTTTTTGCAAGCTTGCTTTTGATGTTCTTCTTCATGAATCTCCTCACTTCTTTAGAGATCAAGGCAGAGATGTTTTCACCATCACTAGCATCATCTTAACTCTTTTCCTTTTGGTTGCTAGCCTTGAATGCAACATCCTTCTTCTTCTTCTCAACTACTCCAACTCCACCATCAACTTGAACTTCTATCTCATATGTCATCAATTTTCCAATGAGATCTTCAAGCTTGAGAGTGTTGAGATCCTTAGACTCTTCAATTGCAGTCTTCTTGGCTTCCCAATTCTTAAGCAAGCTTTTAAGAACCTTCCTCACCACTTCTTGAGAAGGATAGACTTTACTAAGAGCCTTGAGATTGGTGACTATATCATTCAATCTTGTATACATATCTTGAATGCTCTCCTCTGGTTTCATCTAAAAAGCTCATACATATAAATGAGTCTATTGATTTTTGACTCCTTCACTTGACTTGTTCCTTCAGGTGTTAGCTCCAACATGTCTCACATCTCTTTGGCCGTATCACATCTAGATACTCTGTGGAATTCTGTTGGATTGAGAGCACATTGAAGCATGTTGATTGCTTTGTTGTTGATCATGATCTTCCCCAAGTCTTCATCATTCCATTCAACTTTTTCCTTTGGCACCTCACTTTCTCCAACAACTTTCATAGGCACATATGGACCTTTTAAAGTCACAACCCATGCCTTGGGCTCATTTGCAAGCATGTAGGCCTTCATTCTATTCTTCCAATAAGTATAATTAATGTCATCAAAGAAAGGAGGCTTAGTGGTAGACAAATCTGCAAGTGGTAGAGAAGCTTGAAATTGAGCCATCATCGATCAACTTCTAGGTGGTTAAACCTTCAAATTGGAACCTTTGCTCTAATACCAATTGTTGGCTCCAAGGTTTTTAAAATTGGATCGGACCGGTCGGTTGAACTAGTCGGACTAGTATCGGGTAATGAAAACAACTTGGTTTATATAAGAGAGCCATTTGTATGTCAAAATCGGTCAAAATCGATGGAACCGGTAGAACCGAAAAAGCCATCGGTTCAATTTCTCATGCAATCTTCTTTCTATTTTTCCAATTTCACCCTCACCATTCCTTTGTTATTCCAGTTTTAATCCTTAATTTCAACAAAATTACAAAATCATCAAACACCAAATTAGAAAACCCTCGACTCCTCTTCCCAACCCAAGTTCTCTGCCTCTCTACCCTCTCCTACATCGTCGCCGCTCCCTACCCTCTCTGCTGTGTCCAATCTCAAGTGTTGCTCTCTGCTTTATGTAGCTATTGATCTGCTCTCACCGAACCTGCTCTCTACTTTCTACTAATGTACTCTCACCAGAGTTGCTCTTTATTCTCACTCTCACTCTCACCAAAGCTACTCTCTGCCTTCTGCTGATCTGCTCTCTACTCTCTACCTTTTGCCTTTTGCCTTTTGCCTTTTGGTGATTTGCTCTCACCGAAGCTGCTTTGCTTTATGTTGATCTGCTCTCACCGAAGCTGCTCTCTGCGTCTACTGTGCTGTCTATTGATTTGCTGATTTGCTCTCACCAAAAGTCTAGAACTGCTTTTTGCTGATACTTTCTTTCACTTCATCGACCCTGATTTCTACTGTTTTGCTCTCACTGGCGCTTGTCTCTACTCTCACCGACACCGGTCATCATCCGCAGAAAGTAGACCCTGGCTTGTTGTGTGCGTCCCTTTCGTGTGCCTCTTGTTTTGCAATTGGCCTTCACTGCTTCTTCACACTTCACAGCTTCTCCCACCCAGGTACAGGTGTATTTTTGTTTCATCAAATTCTTCATTTGACAATTTTGATGAGAAAAAAATGGATTAAATTTATAACTTTTTAAAATTAGAAACTGTTAGTTCTTTTCCAATTTTAGAATTAGAAATAGAGTTGCTGAACACTTGCAGGACACTTTGAATTTTTTGTATTAATTAGCCATATATTTTGTATCTGGGTCTAGTTCTTGGACACTTGCATGTTGCATATTTTGTGTTAATTAAACTTTTAACTTGTTTTAATCTTTTTTACAATATAATTAGTTTCTTTTTTGAGTTTTTTTTTTTAATGTTCTTTTTCAGTTTTTGTTTTTCTTTTGTTCTAAGGGAAAAAGAAAAATCATAGACACATTGATCATCACATGTTAATCCAAGGAAAAGTCCCTTGTATACTTTGCATTTTTGTAGAGTTGCCATTTATTAATGATTTATTTGATGTACATTGCAGTAAAATGTCATCATCCAGACAAAATTCAACTTCAGCAGCAACTCCTACACCTTCACAATTGTAATCCTTAAGGCAAAAAGTTGATGCGACATGGGAGCATTGTGTAGAAGTTATGGATGGTGCAAGAAAAGTAATAAAATGTTTGCATTGCCAAAGAACATTTAGAGGAGGGGGAATACATAGAATAAAACAACACCTTGCGGGAAAGGGTGGAGACATAAGAAAGTGTGATGAAGTGCCATTTGATGTTCGTTATCGGATGCAACATAATTTGAAGGAAATTGAAGAAAATAAAAGCCAAACGCAAAACCAATGGGAAGACAACCCATTACGGTCTAGTGCCATGGATCTCGAGGGAAATGCACCGGACTTGTAAGAGATCCCATATTCAGCAGCAGAACAATTACAATTCAAAGGAAAGGGGTTAGCAACTTCAACAGAAATGGGCAAAAAAGGAAGGCAAGTGCAAGTGGGATTCAAAACTACTTTGCTCCAAGAACAGCTCCTGGATCTCAACCATCTATTAAAAGTGCAATGGCAGGTAGAGATGCTATCCACAAGGTTGATATGGCTATTGCTAGTTTTTTTTTTTTTTTTTTATAGTTGTTTGCCCATAAATGCTATAAATTCTCCTTATTTTCGACCTATGCTTGA